GCTAAGTCTGAACATCAATTCGTCGATTTTGGACATATCAAAAATCGATGAATGCTCTGGTACGTTCACACCTCGTCCTTCAAACGTTGCGATAGCCCTGCGTAATATTGACCAGTGATACCCTGAACCTTTACAAAATAATCAATGTATATAATTCCTCTCGCGTCCATTTGCCAATAAAATTGTTTTAGCCTCCTTTATAGTTGGTTCCCCTTTTGCAACCCACTGTTGTGGGTGTTCCTTATTTTAAGGAGTGTAGTGATAGACCCAAGACAACAACAAAAAATTGTTAAGATTACACCTATAAAGCGCCAAATTGTCGGTAAAATTGTTTATCTTGCACACAATCCATCCTACAAGTCTCAGCTATCTCATGCACTTTCAATCTGCGGTCTTCCAATAATATTTGATGAATTTTCTCAATTATTTTTGAAGTTGTAAACTCAACAAGCCGTTCTGAATTCAGACACCCACTGCTTAATAGTTGAATATTATGGGGAGGAGTCTACTGGTGTTGAATTCATCTCTTTAATTTGTTTTGGCTTAAAATCTTTCAAATAGAAGTATTTGATGACAGCGTGTCTCGCAATGTGGTCTCAAACGCAAAATAAGGTAGCGATTAGGTTGAAACTGTACATACAAGCTCGGTAGGAATGGTACTGTAGGACACCGATTCAAAAGGGGTTCAAAAATATTTAAAAAATCAAAAAATATTCAAAAAATATTTAAAAAATCAAAAATGTGTATTATTTTTATTATATATTATATTATAATATCACAAAAGCAAACTTTGTATCAAAAAAAAGTATTTTCTCTCCGTTTTGTTGCATAATAAATAACCAAAATACCGCAAAATAAAATTTAGGACAGAGAAGGAAAATTCAACTAAACAAAAATATTAAACAAGATAATGTGCATTTAGGTATCTATAATTCGAAATAAGTTACTACAATTGAACCGTGGAAATGCGCAAAAATTACGTTTTTGAGATAACTAAGAAAAACTGATATGCGGCGAGGCATGTCGAACAATCATACCGCAAAATGTTAATATATCAACATTTCCACTCTTCAATTACGAAATAATCTAATAATAGGGACATTTATGTTACTAAACAGGGTACTCTAATTTGGGCAGATACGGGGTCCAACAATGAACTACATTTTAATAATGCATAATGCATACTGGGACATATATACCAAATTATTTTTTATTCCGTTTTAAAATAACGGTTAAAGATTCTTTATGAGCAAATCTAATTCTGACAGCACGTACCACTCTTTATAATGTATTTTTAAGTTTACTTAGATATCAATATACTAAATATACATTCATAAACATTCTTCCGGGCAGGAACTAATGAACCATAATTATGAAAGTACATCTAATATACACAGTAACAGTATTCTAATTATTAATCAGCGGGCAATAATTCATTTAGGGTCAAAACTTTATAATCTGCTTCCTATATGCCTAACGAAAATTTTCTAGAGAGGCCAAAAACCATATTCTAGAAAATTCTTTCAGGTTTCGCTGGTTGCTTAATGTTAATTGCTTAGTTAATTTAACTTTTCTTGTTATAATTACGATTTAATTATTGTACGTTTGTAATTTGACAAATTAGTGAATGTTGGTTTTTGATACATGCAGGTTTTTTAAACCTAGGTCAAACAATCTTTGCAGTAATAATAACTATAATATTGTTCTAATAATAACTATTTATTTGCACCATCAACATACAATTCATAATTGATTAATTTCTAGTGTTTCGTCAAAATTAAACTTTTTGATTTTTGTAGTTTTTAATGATAATAATAAAAAAATTGTTTAACACTAAATAATCCACGTCCAAAATCCAGATTGAAAAAAGTTTAAATGTTTAAATAAGGGAATATGACTTAATAGTTACAGGTACCTTCATACTGAAATGGTAAGACATTTTACGATTCCTTGCTCACCTGTCGGTCAAAGATTTTTAATCATATAGAAAATTGGAATGGTGGTTGAGATAAAACCAAAGCGACCTTTAAAAGTATGAATTAATTTAGATATTTTAAAGTAAAGTAAAAAGATGTTATTACTAGCAAAATTGCAATGGAGTTCTTTCGAGAAGCCCTGTTGATTCACAAAAGTGTTTAATGACGATGCCATTTTAAAGTGACACCTCCCGTACATATAATCTCATATTTATTGAGTTACGTAACGGTAGTGAAAAAAAAAGAAAAAAACAAATTTCCTCCAAATTTTAAAAAAACCAATGACTTACTTATCTTTCTTTCAAAAATATCCACTCGAAATCCCACCGGTAATAAAAACATTTCGGAACACAAAGTCCATTCCCCCACAGAATTGATTTATATTGTATACCATGGTTCTTTCCACTGCGATTTACCCGTCGAAAGTCTACAATTCCCTGCCAGACACAATCAAATTTTAAAAACTTCTGAAGAAACGTCTACTATCAAAACAATGTTCTGTATCATAAAATAATATTACTCTATGTCTATGTCAACCAACAAGAAATACTTTTTTATAGGAATATGTTATTTGTAGCTGGAAAATAAAGATGTATTAAATAATTTATTTATTTATTCAGTTTCGCAAAAATATTTTCGTTTCCTTTTTTTTTGACATAAAAAGGTTATATATCCGACTCAAATGTTCTCAAAAGATTTCCAATCATTTTTGATACCAAACAGTGAAGATCGCTGAAGAATCATTGGGTCGCCCTGCAGTTCCCTTGCGTACTTAATGAGCTTTCATTACTCTACCACTTTGTGAAATAGACTTTAAACGCTGTGTTGACGACGTTATTTTCGTTTCGTAAATTCTATAGTGTATCGTTGCCTCGTAGGCAGTGATAAATCTAAAACGTAAGGGGGTTTAAAGGCGGCTTTTTGTACTTAATCGTGTTTTGCCGGCCCACCTTATCTTTCGCTATTGTTGGATAAAACCGCCCAGAGCGTAGTAGGTTTCCATTTAAATTCTCGCTATTTTAAAAGTATCGGCGAAGCCAGAAATAAATTAACATCTTACGTAGCATGAATAAGTTATTAGCAATTTTAAACTTACAAAAAAAGTACATAATATTAAATACCCATTACTACAAATTAACTTATATTTTTTATCATTATTATGGCCCAATAAATGTTCAAAAATATGCTCACCCATTAGTTTCTGACCTGTGCCATAGTATAATAACAATGGTCTTTACCTCTTTTTTAATTATTATTGTATTATAAATATTCAAAAATATACCCTTCTACTTGGATATACATGTTTAGTCTTTTTCGTATATTTTCTTGGACGTTCCTTAGCATAAACGGTGTTATTCTGCTGCACGCGTCCCGATTCTTATCAATCATATCTTCTGATGTTATAAAGGGTTCACCAAAACACGATCTTTAACATATCACCACAAAAAGAAATATAGTGGTGTCCAATGAATCCATCTCAACCGATCTATTTCTGTAGGTAAGGATTATCTAAAAATTCTCGAACTTTTCGATGGTAATGCGTTAAAACCACATGTGTTGAATCTTAATGTTGTCAAGTTCTTGGAGAAAAATATATTTCAATAACATTAAAGTGTTTTATTCCGCACCACACATTAAGTGACCAATAGGTTTTGGTTTCGCACTTTCCAGACCCAGAATGTATAAATTGTTACTGCGAAAACACTTTTTTTAAAAATGAGACAACAAATTTTGTAGCTGGTATACGTCTGTTACGATACTTCGCATTGTAAAGTCTTACTGTCAACAAAGTATTCTTTTCCGCCACATACCAATTAATTTATCTTTAGGAAAATTCATATTTAGTTTATTTTTTATTTACTGACACCACAATACATTTTTTCTTCCCGCTTCTGTAATATACCTAATTATACACCGCTCTAGAGTGCGGAAAACGTCACTTCACCACGTGAATTTCTTGCCCCACGGATCCGAACCCCTTCGGACATTTCCGGGATATTACCGCACGAGTTTGGGAACAATCGGATGTTGACGGTCACGTCAGTTAATGTATTTTTGCAAGAATATACCCAAAAACGAAAGGTCGTAGGAAAAGTATAGTCTGCAACACGTTTGGTAAAATTTTTAAGTCACTCGTTTAAACACTTGTTCCGCTCGTGCCAAGTAAAGTCTTGACTCAAATGCCAAAACCAAAACTGTTTGTTCTTTAGCAAATAATCTCATTTTGTGTCTGTTGAAAGTGTTTAGGGGTTTTCGAAACTGCAAAAGCTTACTAATTTTTGGTTTTAAATTGTATTTTGCCTTTCTTGGCTCTAGATAGGTATTGTGTAAAAACATTCGGTGTTCGTTACTTGTGTGGACATAAAATATGAAAAATCTTGAAAATGCATACAAGTTGTGTTGTGGTTGGTTGTGGAAACCGTTCAAACCGCGATTCAGTAAGTTTTGTTGCAACCACAGCTATTCAAATAAACAAAACCGCTTAGTTTTGCAGCCGGTACATTCCAAATTCAAATTTCATTCAACATAATCACACCTTTTTTATTCAATTCATATCTTATTAAGTCGTCATTTGCAGCGGTTTTGGTTAAAACGACATTGCACACTTGAAGTATTGAAATAATTATTTAAATTTTAATTGCAATTCATCGATTATAAAAATGGCTATATTATGGTATATTTAAATATTTGCTTAAATTAGCGCACAACATTCCACAAAAGTATATCGCTTTATGAAACTCAATACCGCAGAATACATATTTTGAACTACTTGCTGAAAAAAACAACAAAAAATCCATTTTAAATAACCAATAAAATATGTGACCAGACAAACAGTTTAACAACGATCTAAAACTCTCTCGCATTAGTCTGTAGTTAAATTTTCCAAGAACCGGTTCAAAGAATTATGATTTCCACTGTCGCCTCTTAGTACGCAGCCGAAACTTTTTGAGACGTTTTCTTTAATTTTTTTAATGATAATAAAAACAGTAAACATTTATCAATATTAACGTGAGATATTTTTAGAAAACAAACAGCAGCCAGAAGCAAATACAACTTTCCAATTTGGAGTTTTCCGCCGGCGGCTCGTACCATTGTGTCGTTTCCATGGAGACGCCCAGCATTTTCAGCAAGGAATCAGAAAAAAAGGACTTAATTATAATAGGTAAGGTTATTTTTCCGTTATAATAGTAGTAACACGTTCGGTTAACTTTTTAGCGCACTCGTTTATTAAACACTCGCTCCGCTCAAATAAACTCGTGAGTCAAATGCCGTTTACCGCACTCTTATACTATAATATACTATTGCAGATGCTGTATTTGCATATAACGTATTTGTTTTATTGTGTTATACCAGAGTTAACTGTTAGTTTAAATTAAGTGCTCTTAAATGACGTTTAAATGTTAGAATTGTCCAGCCAAAATTCATGAGTTTAAAATGTATGCGCTATTAAATGAGAATTAATGTATAAAAAATTGTTTAAGACAGTATGATAAAAAGAAGAAAAAGAATAATTACGTTTCCACTGTGGGTTTGAAACGAAATAGAAATGTATTAAAATTTAAATAACAATAAACATTTAAATAGCATTAGTTGCAAGAAAAAGACTAAGGGAATTTTATCTGTGCCCCATCATTTCATCGTCATTTTGAAAAATTCGATCTAGACAAGACTGCGAATTGCTACAACAAGACTTAAATGGAGTAATCAAAATAGTCAAAATCCAAATAAATGTAATGACATTCAGCAGATAACATGAAAGAAACCATGATAGAACGCAAAATAGAAATGGTGTACTTGCTATACTTTTTGATTCCGAATTAAAATTTGATAAACATATAGACAGCATAACAAAAAAAGGCAACGAAATGTTAAGCTTTGTGGTTCGACATTCCGGCTGAATCAATTGTAGAATGCATATTCGATTATCTGGTCGTCTTATTTTTTATATAAGTATGAATTACAAACGATTTAGAAGAAATTTTTGAGGTACCTTTATTATAAGAAGCATATTTACTATTTTGGTGTACCTTATATCGTTTTGTTTCAAGAGTTTGGTTTTTGTACACTTGAAAAAAGAAGAAAAATTGCTGAAGAAATATTTTTGTATATACTGGTTTGGAGTAGAATTGGTTGTTATTTTCTAATAAGTGAATTAGAATTATTGTGCCTGCATTTTTAACAACGAATAATTTCATTTTTGAACTTCCTACAGCTTACACTAATCTGGGACAATATAATATATTGTAACTTATAAAATGCATGTTGTGGATAGTTTTCAAATTCGTTTTTGCGACTTTAGAACTATAATTTCAAACAAGCTCTTTTTTTCTTATGCTGGTATTTGTAAAACTTATATTATAATTAATTATTAAAACATAGCATGTTAATTTATTAGTTTTTTACATAGTTGAAACCTAGTAGCTTATGGACATGTTCTTTTTTTTTTGTTTGCTTATTTTTGAGTGGTTGTAATCTGTTATCTGTTATCTGTTGATTACTTTAATATATATATAATTAAATATTATTCATTATTTACATAAAGAGTGGCAACAATAGCTTGGCCCGTTTTAATTTATAGAGTGACAAATAAAATACTAAAATTAGTAATAGCAAAAATGGTCGATATAGATTTCTCAACCACCTGGAACCATCGGAAATCGTCTTGAATCACTGTTCCAATTTCATATTGATTATTACGATTGCCTTAATACGGAACTTTTTTACAGAACCGCAAAGGGTGGATCCAAAAATAACATTCTCGAAAACCAAGTATTTGGTGGGCGAAATTTTGGAGGCTAACTGTACCACGGCCCCCTCCCGACCGCCACCGCATATTAGCTGGCTGCTGAACAAGAAAAAGGTATTCTTTGTGTTTAATAATTTGCTCTTGAATGAATCGTAATATTTTTTTTGGCCGACTTCGTTTTTTCATAAAAAATCTTAGAAATACTTAAATGTTCAAAATTCGGGAGAACTTTTTTTAAATCATTTATTACATAGAAAGCGAAATAAAGTTTTATTCGGACTGGCCGATACAAAGGCTGGAATAATTAAGAGCACATTTTACAATATTTCAATCGAATAAATAGGCTTTTGATGCGGTGTCAGCGATGCGTTATCTTCGCTTAGCTTTGGGCTTCGTCTGCAGTTTGGGGCATATAACTTCTCCCTCCTTAACTTTCGAAAATAACGGAGTGAAAAAGCTTCAAGGTTTTCTTCCTGGTAGGTTTCCTCTTTGGATGCGTTTTTCTTCAATTCTCGTACCTTTTCGAAGAAGAGCTTCTTAATGATGAAAACTAAAATTAGAACCATGATTCCAAACGCAATAACAATTATTTGGAAAGTATTTGTTTCTTCTTTCCCTGGTTCCATGGGAGTTATTTGTTCTGCTAAGTCTCTTAGCTGGTATTTTCTTCAATATTTATTTTTGAAAGACTGGGGGTATCCAGGACTTTCCTTGCGTTCATTTCCGTTAATTGGATTTTTGGTAAAAATATTGGTTTTCCGAACTGGATTTTCACATCGTTGAAAAATTTTTCTTAATTAATTTCTACTTGACAGTTTACTGGTATCTTAATCAGTACTGGTACTTCGATTTACATATATCCTTGTTACACTTGATTAGCAGTTTTTCAGGCTTCTATGGCAGAACAAGAACTAAATTTTGAGTGATTTGTTCTATAATTGCTTCTGAACGGTTCATTTTTGTAACAGGGTAGTTTTCCATTCCGATGTCGTCAAATAAGTTCTCCACGCATACATCTCGGGGATGAGTTTCTTCTTTACAAAAGTAGATTTCTTCGATGACGGGACATGGTTCTACGGTGAATTGTTTCTTCTTCTCCGCTTGTGCCATTGGATATGGGGGTATAAAAATTGATTGATTTTGGATTATTGGGAAAATATGGTAAAAGGGAAATATTTCGGATCTTAAAATTGGTACATGGACTGCAAAAATCACTTTCGAGTCAACAAAATTTACCCGAGTTAAAAAAAAATTAAATTGTGGAATTTGATTTTCTTTATAAATTGATGCTAGATATTTAAGCATTATATTCAACGTCGAAATTGGTAAAATACTATTTTGAAGCGCATTAACTTTTGCAAACACAATAGCATCTTCTAGGTTATCTAGAAACATAATATTTTGGCAATCTAAATTTAATTGCGTAATGATCTCGTGAAAACTAAGATGGTCTTGTAAAGAATTTATGGTCATTAATACTGCATTTTGGAATGTTTTTAAACCATTTTGTAGTTTCCGTTGATTTTCATTTCATTTCATTTAATTTTCTTGAATTTAGGAAGTTCTTTGCTCCTAAGTTTTGTTTTAATGAAAGAATATTTTTGTTCAGTAAAATCTGGTGGTTCTTCATTATTTTCGTTTCTTTTTGAAATAATGCCTTCTTTCGTTTTTTCATTTAATTCCTTTATTTGTTTGTACAATTTACTTGAGTTTGAGAGAAATCATAGCGTGATCATTTAAATCAAATGGGTTTTGAGGATTTAAATGACCATTTATCCATGCTGCGTTGTAAAATTAAAAAGGTTTTCAACTACCTCGATTCCTGTTATGCTTTTTAATGGATACGCTTGTCCATAGCGCGAAAATGCGTCAATTATTATAACGTAGGCTTCATGGTTTATCCTAAAGGTATCAACATGAATGTGTTCGAATGGTTTTGATGGTGTGTTGGGGTTAAGTTAAATTTTATCACTGGTGGTTTTCGATCATACATATTCTTTTAGCATACGTTACAATTGTTAACATAATTTTTTATGTCGTCAGACATTTTTGGCCAATAATATTTTCGACAAAGAGAATTTTTCATTTCGTTTATTCCACGATGGTACGTTTTTGTCGTATGGTATAGACTTAGTTTTTCTTGTTGGTCATCTTGGGCTTCGATGTCTTCAAGAACTATATTGCAATGAATTATTTTAAATGCTGAATTTTTTAAAGTGTTTTGTAATGTTACAGCGAAAATTCTAATAAAAATTTCCGCTTGAAAGTAAATTGCATAAGTAGTTTTCGGTTTAAAGTATATCGATTGTTATTAAACACGTTTTCTTTCCTTTTTAAGAATTTTCCTACATCTCCTGTTGTTAATATTATTTGATTTTTAAAATTATTTAATTTTTTTTTCCGAAACTGGAATTTCAAAAATTGGGTTTTCCGCTGAGGAATGTACTGTCTCATTTTCTTTTAAATCTTTTAGATTTTCCCGTTGGTTAAATGGGGGTTTGATTTGAATATCCGATAAAATTTTAATTTTTTGTTCTTCCGGTTTAAACAAAATTTCATCTAACATTAAGTAAGTCGTCTAGATTTGGCAATTCGTCGTTATCAGGTAATAAAAAGTCGCCTATAATTTCATCCACGTCTCCTAAGTTGTTAAATATCAAGTCAGTTTCAAGAGCGTTCATATCCATTGGATATCGTGATAAAGCGTCCGCTGCTTGATTGTTTTTACCTTTTTTATATTTAATTTTGTACTCCTACTCCTCAAGTTTAAGTCTCCATCTAACGAGTCGTGAATTTGACTCTTTTAATGACATTAGACATTGTAGGGGTTTATGATCCATATAAATAATTATTTTTTGTCCGAATAAATAAGGTCTATAATATTTATAGCTCCAAACAATTGCTAAGAGTTCCTTTTCAATGGTCGAGTAGTTTATCTCTGACGGGTTCAGCGTTCTTGATGCGTAGCCTATTGGGTGTCCGTCTTGGGATAAAATTGATGAGATAGCATATTTTGATGCGTCGGTTGTTAATTAAAAACTTCTTTGTAAAGTCCGGATAAGGTAATACTGGCTCCGGAGCACGTTTTTGTACGTGTTAAAAGAATCAATGAATTCTTTTGTGTGTTCGACTTTGCTTTCCTTTTTCAAGTATTGTGTCATTGGTTTAGTTATCTTCACTTAATTTTCTTCTTTTGGTTTGGTTTTATACCATTTGAGGTAACTACATGTCCAAGGAATTCCACTTCGCTACATAAAAATTCGCACTTGTCCGCTTGTATCTTTAGATTAGCTTCTCGTAATTTTTGGAATATTAATCTCATATTTTGAATATGTTCCTTTAGTCCTGTACTTATAACGATTACGTCGTCCATAAAGACGTCTTTGAAAATTTCATACATGACAGGTTGGAAGGTTGATGGTGCGTTTTTAAGTCCGGCATTCTTGTTTATTCAAAATGTCCGTTTTCTACGCTAAAAGCTGTCTTTTCGATAGAGTCGTCTTTCATTTCAATCTGATGAAAGCCGCTGGCAAAATCCAGTGTAGAAAAATACTGTGCACGTCCCAATTTACCTAAAATATCCGTTATGTTCGGGATTGAATATCTATCAGAAATAGTTTTTTCATTAATCTTCCGATAGTCTACGACTATTCTCCATTTTTAGGTTTCTTTGGCACTATCTAAAAAGGGGTTGACCATGGGCTGCTGATTTTCTTATTATTCCAGTTTCGAGCATGTCATCTATTTGTCGTCTTACGTCTTCTTTGTGGACGAATCTGTATAAATAAAATTTAGAGTTTGATTGTTGTTAGTAAAATAATTTTGTCTTATCGGTCGTCTTGTAAATGAATTATTTGTTTATCTCGAGATACCTGACATTGGTGTCGGTTTAGGAAGTTGGTTGGGTGATATTTGATTGGGTTTAAAGACATTTCGTGGGGGTCCGAAAACTTCCCGGTTTGTTGGAAATCATCTTTGAGGTATTTGCCTCGGTTGAATATTTATTGGTTGCGATGGAAATTGTGGTTTTTGGAATTGATTTTGATATTGTTAAAATTATTTGGCATGAAATTTGTGTTGGGATTTATTCCAGGTTGAAATCTGCTTAGATTCGGCTGGTTTTGGAATTGTTGAAATGGTTGAAAATGTTGTTTCGTGTTGAATTGTCGATGAATTGGTGTTTGGAATTGTTTTGCATTGTTTTGTTGGAAGTCGGGTATTTGTAATTATTTTGTTGTGTTGCTTAGATTTGCGTAGAGGTTTTCGAAATTTTCAAATTCAGAAACATAAGCAATGGCTTCCTCTCATGAATCTGGTTATTTTAAATGCATGTTGTTTTTGGGCATCCCGGTGCATCCAGCTATGAATGTATTGAGTGCGATTTTGTTGTTATAATTTACATGGAAAAGTTTTTCATTTTGATCTAAATCTTCTGAATTTAAAAGTTGTAGCCTACCACCGAAATGAACTAAATGTTCGTTTTTAAAGGGTCTTGTTCTAGTTAATTCCTGAATTAGACAATCTAAATTTCTCCTATCTGCAAAGTATTGAATGAGCGCATCTTTTATGCTTAACCAATCTCTCAATTCTGATCAGTTGTCTACTATTACTCTGCTTTCCTTACTAGTTTGTCTATGATGCAATTGTCTAGTTCCGCATCTCCCAAACTAACGTAGGAATTTATTAATTGTTCGCATTTAGCAATAAATTTGTTTTGCGTGTCACTATTTCCGTCGTAAGGTTTAATGTTATCTACTTTAGGTTTAAAAAGATTCCAATTAAATCTTGGTTCCGCACTACTCATACTACCTGAGCTTCATGGTTTTGACTCCTGTTTGTGTTTTGTTCTCTAACTTTAAATTTGAATTGAAATGTTTTTCGAGATTTTCGATTTCAGAATCGCTCATTTACGATTTGAATTGATTTTTCCTTCCCTTTTCCTTCAGGTGGCCTTATACAGAGGTATCGGAGGGGCAAATGAAAATGGAACTTACGGTTTCGTATTTCTGCGTCTAATTTCCAGCTCAATTTTCCAAATCATCACGTGTGGGTTGTACCTGCCGTTCTGCTTCCCTTTCTGCTGGTTCTGCGTGCTCAAGGATTTGAAAATCCAC